ATGGTTATCGACAGCAAGAATATGAAGCTTCTCGGTGGAAAAGTCCGCATACAGAAGGACAAGATTCTTCAACAGTGACCCATGAACATAGCCTCGACGTCACTACTCACCAAGATGATTCGGTCCACGGTGAGTATTTGATAACTCGACTTCAAGAGGACGGAGGCAGTGGTAAGTAATCCTTAATTTTATTTGTGCGTTATCTTAATGGTTCGTCCTAATAATGAAATAATGGTTAAAGCCGAGAAGTGTACCAAAAAACCGAGAAGTGTACCAAAAAACCGAGAAGTGTACCAAAAATAGACAGCATGAGAAATATGAATCCAATTGCGCTGTGAAAGTTTTGAGAATCGAAAGAGACGTGGTTTACCTTATTTAAATAATGCTCAGAAATCAGACAGCGATACTTCTACAGCGTCATCATTACGGAGACCTGCATGGATAAGATAACACTAAGCGCACTTTACAATTTACAATTTTACAATTTATCACTTATAGAGCGCTGTTTACAATGACAGATGAACAGCGCTTTACAATCAATCCTAACCCGCCCATCCCACCCCAGGGGAGGACATCCATCACACAGTAATCTCGTGCGTGGGAAATTAACGTCTCCTACCTCTAACCCTGTAGGACACGGGACCTCCATTTATTCGTCCCTATCAGAGAAGACTAGAATATCTAGCCATTTCTTGATGTTATAGAAAGGTAGCATATTCTTCTCAATTATTTTAAGACCTTGAGTGTTGGTCCGGCCGGGGACTGAACCCTCGACCTCCCGCACAACAGTCCAGCGCTCTATCCATTGAGCTAACCGGGAGGCGGTTTAAAATAAAAAGAGATACAAGACTAATTAACCGAAAGCGTTTCTTGGTATTAGCAGAGTTAAATCCTCTGTTAACTCTTAATATTACTATTATTACTCACATTATCCTATGAACTCTATTTCCCCTGTATTAACTCTTGTTTTTAGGTGAAAGCGTGAGCGGGATGGGAAGTAGTAAAGATATTGGATCGGGTAAACCTGGACGCGTTAGTGGATCCAAAGTTCTGCATAACAGTCCTGACAGGATGTCTGCCACAGATGGACCGAACGGAGCATCAGAAATGAACGCTTACAGAGGAGGGATGCGTAAACCAAAAGTTGATTCGAGTGAGGACATTTTTTTTCCATACAAAGGAATTCACTCTTTCTGTATCTCTTGAATTAAAAGGGAAATAATTCACAAAATATGTGAGTGAGTGAGCTACGATAAACTTGGTAAAGAACGACGTAGAGTGTGAAAGGAAAAAAGAGAAAATCTGAGTACCTATGCAGATATAAGGTTCATTAAGTTCTGATTTCGTGGTCGAATGCTCTCCTGAGAAACGAAGGAAATCTTAGTGAAATAAAACATAGTTGCGTTAGCCTCAGAAGCGGTCCACTTTCTGCATGCTGTTAGGATGAGGGAAGTTAAGAACGCCCCAATCTCCATAATTGTTGAGATATTACTTTACATTAACTAACATTTAACTTTCTTCTCTCAGGATTGAAATCCTTTTGCATCGGAAAGTCAAGCGGAATTTACACAAATCCTTTCGAACAAAAGAGCTTTATTGTCTGCTCTAATGGAGTGTCAGAGGAGAGAGAGTGTCCTGGGCCTTTGTTGTTTAATCCAAAAGAAAAGATGTGTGATATACCAGATCAGAGTAAAACCCGTGGGAACAAAGAAAAGGAAAGAAACTACTAGCTAAGAAGTGATTGCGATGTGTTCGTCGATAAATCCTTTTTCAGTACTAGTGGCCACTATTTATCTCATGGAAAATTTGCCTTAAATAGAACACTTTAAAAATTTTAGTTTAGTGTACACTGTAACTCGCATTGACGAACAATATCTTCAGACGTTTACATGAATGATGTAATGTGTGCTGGCATGGCTTCCACCAACCAGACAAGTCTGCATTTATTTCCAAATCTAAGAAGATATTTTCCAGCCGAACCTTGGAAAAAAACTTATTCCAGTAAAGCAGAGTTCCTCTCTATGCTCTGATATTTATTTCCTAATTAGCCTGTATAGATATTCTAACCATTATTCTTGGATGGGCCTATTTTAATCGACAGACATCTACAAAGCAACAGAAGAGAATAAAAAGAATTGTAAGACTTAACGAGGATCTCAAAATCTTTCTCGCCGACGATGAAGGCTTACTCTTTGGATAGTATTTCTCGTTTACTTTATGCTCTTTGTTTAGTTGGTGACTAGAAATTATCTTTTACATTTTTGAGGATATGGTTCAAGATGGCGCTAAGAATGAGAGAGATTGTATCTGGTAATGCACCAAGTGCATCTGGTAATAAACTCATGATTTGTTGCCAAGGAAAGTTTCCAACCATTTTATGTACGAACCAGTACCATAAACTGATACGAACATATATACTTCAATCTAATCAGATCTCATTCGGTTAACTCGAGCCAATGATTATTCATAAAACGGTTTTATGTTCCATCGGACTTTAAACAGCTGTTATTAATGATTCAATTATTAATTGTTACCGATGTCGTCTAGAAAAATCAGGAAAGCATCAATTAGATATTGTACAGCCAGCTATTTGACTGATTGACTAATTTAATGACTGACCGATCGACTGCCTAACTGATTGACTTGGCTATGATTGACTGACTGTTGATGACTGAGGAAACTGTGTTTGAATGAAGCAGTTTTCTCGTAGTTTGATAGTTGACAGGAACAGCCCTTTACTAACACCTCCCCACCCTCACATACAGTTTACTTTCCCAGTTCACCCACTGATCTTACATCAGTGGAGGAGAGATAACCCATCCATCTGGGATTCTTCATTCTTGGGTGTGTTCATCAGTCTATGCAGTTACCTATTTACCCTTTGGTGTCTATGGACATTTGGCGTACAATTAAAGAAACCATTTTTTAAAGTTTTGCACTTGAACTGAGTTAAAATTGAAAAACATTGCGAGGTGCCAGTGCAAGAAATTTCTTCTTCTAAACTTGGAGACTAGCTATGGACTCACACCAGGTTTTAAATGAGCATGAAATCAAAAGGAACTCAACTACAGCTATGGTGAATAGAGATTTCACAGAATCCTTGGAGATTTTCAGAGTAAAAGAGTGTGTATAGTGGATCTCTTTCCACCGATGAGGGACTGTTCCATCAGCTATCAAACTAAGTGGGATAAAATATTAATCAGAAGTTTCAACAGTATCCTATGTGGCTTTTTTCGGTGTCTGTGAAAGGAAATCAGTTATTGAAAGAACATTCCTGTGCATTTTTCAAGAGTAACACCTAGTGATTGCGTGGTCTGATCTCGTGGGTGAGTGTAGTCCCGAAAAGGAATGCTGTCTGTGGTGGTGACAGACGTTTCGACAGTCTGAACGGAAGTCATCATCAGGTTCAAGGCTCTGACTCTGATCACAAGTTATCCCTGGTTTCTAACCATTCGCTGTAGTTATACCTTGGCCTTTTTAAAACAACACAAAATATTAAGTATTCGAAAATACCGCGCACGTCGAAGGCATTCGCCCGTGCTCATGACTGAAACATGGTGTCCACATGATAAACCAATAGGATTATAAGGATGGCAAGAGGGTATGACCATAGAAGGATGTGCGAAAGCCTCTACAAATACCACTGACCTTTGAAATTACCCGTTAAACTGACATGCCAATGAGGTCAAGAATAATGGTTTCGTAATGCTCTTTTGTGTTATTGTTTGTTCTTTGTTCCTTTTCGTTAGTAACAACAATGAAAACGGTAAGTTATGTCTACAGACGTGTAAATGGAAACATATATTACCACATCCGAGTTTAGGGCAATTTAATTCCAGATAATATGAGGACTCAGTAAGATGAATCATGAAAGTGAGAAATCATTGAGATCGTTGTTTTACCACCAGCTTACAATATCAATACTAATTCATTTCAAGCTTCGATTTGTTTGTTAGCGAATGTCATTCACCCAAGAATGTTAAGTTAAAGGTTGAATTCAAACCTTAAATTGCGACAATTTTTTAATCTTAGCTAAAGGTACATAGAAGTGTAAGGAACTAACTGTTTTAGTATATTTTACTTCGGTAATATTTGTTTAAATTTAACACGACTTATTTGACTGGATAGCAGGTGATATGGTTTTGAAGTGCACGCTCAATCACCACTTTAAACTGATAACATGAATCAAGTCTCGCAACGAATTAAGAAGTGAGACAGGTGCAGGAGTAGTTTTCCTTCGGAGTTGGTAAAAGAGTTCCATCATTCACAGCACAGACCTCCAACTTACTCTTATATATTATTGCAGAATTTTGAGTGAGATTTTAAGAGCAATGAATTTGCTAACCAGACGAAAAAGCTTAGTGATACTGGTTCTTTGGCTGGGTGTAGAATTTTCTAAGGTTTGTTTGTTTGTTTTTGTTTTGTTTTGTTTTTTAATGTACTTCATCAGACTCATTAATTTCCAGGAAAAGATGCTTTGCATCTCTTAAAAAGCTTTTTCCATTTCCATGCAGTGGTGTCGAATTCATAATTTAGTCATCCAGTCTGCTCGCTGCAAAAGACTTTTTATGGTGCCGCCTTCTTTCTGCTTGTCATTTATCTCTACAGTAGAGCTGTCTAAGTATGCAATTCTCAATCTATCATCACAAAACAGTTATTCTGACTCAAAAGAGTATTAATTGTAATTGATGTTTGAGTCAGTACCCAAGAAAAGTTATATTAACAAATGTGAATTATGTACATTCTTTTACCCTAAGGCTGTGACGGACTTTCAAAATCTTATGGCAATATGGCGTCACTACAGTGGTCAACTGATGGACGGAAACGTAAGTGGCCTTTTTTCAGCATTGAATAAAAGATGAAAAATGTCTCACAGGTGAATCAAACTCCATTTTTTCTAATTAAAACTTGTGATAACGTTTATTCTTCTTGGACGAAGCTGCTTGAATGTCTATTTGCAAGATTGTTTCGTTTGGGGGATGGTGTAAAGTTTCCCGTGTAGTTTGTCGTAAGTGTCTTTTACGTTGGCAGCCAGTTTGATGCACGTAGGACCCAGCCCCTAAAAAGGGTTAGGATGGGGATAGAACCATTGAACAAGAACGAGATTTCTCGGCAGAAAGTTTGATGCACGAGGGATCCAGCCCCAAAACAGGGCTAGAATAGCATAAAACTATTGAACAAAAACGAAATTTTCATACCATACGAACGCCCATAAAGTGCGTTTTGTCTCCACTTTTGAAGTCTACGTCAGTCGATACAACAATTACTGTTTCTATGTATCACAAAACAGAGCTCCTACTATGGTTATTATAGAGGAGGTGGAGCGTGTTCTCTAGACCCCTTAACATCAGACTACAGCCATCAGGGTTGGATCAAGGTCGCAGCAGGTGACGGAGAGTTTCAAAAATCACTTGGCTGTGGAATGTGTGTGGAGATTACAGGTGAAGGAATTCTTGCCGATCTGACTGAAAAAAGAAGAATACCCAAGACACCAATCTTAGGCCCAATATACGCGTTTGTGATAGATCGTTGTGGAAATTGCAAACAAGGTAAAAGTAATTGCATGTTGCTTTTCTGCATTAAGATGACAGAAACAAATACCAGTATAAATCACTCCGAAAACATGTTTAACTATTTCTACTAATTCTAATTCTTTTGAGAGCCATTTTCCTGTGCCTTCTTCCTTGTTCCTGCTCCCTCCCAAACATTTCTTTAAGTTGTTCCTAGGTATTTTTCCAACAATCATGCAACTTCGATAGGGATCAAAAACTGCATCCGCAAAGCTAAGAAACATCGTATAAAAGGCGAAAGAAGGAAAAGAGAAATTTTTTTTGAAATTCACTCATAAAACCGAAATTGCGAATGAATAACTTATTTCATTCCGACAACAGCACTCGATTCAAAAGGCGTAATTTTTTTATCCCTAAGCGCTCCAGTAATGTACGGACATTCGCACTGACTGCGTCAATTTATTTCAGGGTTCGACTTGTATGCCCCTGGTTCGAACCAGTGGAAGACTCAGTTCAGAGCGATTGATTGTCCAAAAATAGCCGGTATCAATGGGAATATCAAGTTCAGATTCATGGAAAGCAACCCATGGGCCATGAAACTTCAACCTCGAAATTCCAGGCAGGTTTTCTTTGTGATATATGCGCCAAATTAGGATTAAAAGACGAAAACCGCTCGTATATATATTTATCACTGGTAGCTTTCGAAGTCTGCGACGGGTCATTCTGGAGAACGTTATGTCGTCATTCGTGATTAGAAACGTTTAATGCGTTTGGCTATCCTTTAAATAGCTGAAGGTTACTGAGATCAAATCTGCAGCGGCTATTGCAGACGTCTCGTAATGTTTTGTACTGATCGTGATGAGTGAAGCAATACTTTTGCTCGTGAATGTTCTTATATCTTACAAAATCATTCCTTAGAAATCTTTCCTTGTGATGTTTATCATTCTAATGAGCGTTTTAGGCCCAAGGAGACACCTGAAATTATCTACTGTATATCCTTATCAGTGAAAACTATTTTCCTCACGGGGCTTTTTTACTTTCTTCCAGGGTAGTGACGGTCGGACTAGAGATTTTCCATGGAGTGAGGTGGATTTGTCTCCCGAGAACAGATGATAATTTCTTCCTTGTGGGATCAGCTAGTAAAATAGGATTTCCCTTGCGAATACGCTTGACAAGTGTTAGCGGAGAGCAAGTGGAGTCGACCATCACAGAGCTAAAGAATGGTGTTGATCTCACCTCTTCTGTGCAGTTCTCAGGGTTCATAAAAGGTTAGTCACGCGTTAGATTCAACTAATAAGAGCTATAACCAGGGATATACTGTTTGTGGGTTAATAAAGTATCGGCAGGATTTAGTCGGAAATGCAATCATTTTGTGACGATAAGAATTCCACAAAACTTACCTTCTTTACTATTCTGTTTACAAAACATGACGCACGTGTCATATATGAACTTCGTAATGAGTCTTGCTCACCAGTCTCTGTCGCTCAATGGTGGAGCATCGGAGTGGGGAAGCGATTCTTCATGGGGACTCAATTTTTTACTTTGTCCTACGCTCGTGACAAGACGAAAAACATCTTTCTTTAAGAATTCCTTTTATCGCCGAAATATGAAGTTGAACGACAGTACCATTTTGTTTCAGAGGAAAAGGGGTAATTATGTCTATTAAGTTATTTACAGCTGTGACATTTTAGTTTAATTTATTAACTGAGTTTAAATGTAAATCGGCAACAGTAAAGAGTTAAAAATATACTATGGCTATTTTATTTTATCCACCCAGTTGATGAAACCAAATACCAAATTAACCTGTTAACCC